TCAGGTAAACAAGTAATAAGAAGGGAATTTCACAGACGAGAGGTGCGAGACACGATGCTATTGGAGTAAAAGAGACAGCTGCACTTAACTATTTCAACAATGAAAGGGTGTGATCGAGTTGCCAGCCTAGTTGCACGTTTAAATTCATGCAGTTTGGGAATTAGCAAAAGTAGCTCGTAGGAGCAGTTACGGTGAAAGTATTTGTAGAAAAGACAGAGTGAGGCGACGACATGTCTGTGAGTGTAGATGAGATGCCAGATTAGGACCAATCACATTGCATATCCGTCTCTGGATTTTTATTTACAAAGATGAACTGGGACAGTATGGATGTAAATAAACAATATTGTTAGGTATGAGACATGTCGTTTTATGTTCATATTAGTTCGTGCAAGGTTAGCAATACTCTTGCACCAGAAATAAGTGTCTGAATTAATCCATCGTTTTTTTTATATATAGCCACATCAGAATTTCATTTTGTTTGTTTCTAACAAAATGATTATCAGTTAATCTCTACTACCATTAAAAAAATATTATTCCCACCTTTTATTCTTCTTTCTTATGAAAAAAATTCTTAATTTTGGACAACAGAGATTATCTTTAATCTCTTTGTTTAACTCTTTTTAGTTTATTCACCTTAGCTGTGAGCAAAATTTATTTAGAAAAATATGCTTTTAGAATTGCATGAACGATTGGCGAGGACTTCGACTTGCTGGGAAAGTTTGAAGACAGACGCACATTCTTTATTCATACAAAGTTCTCCTATTAGAAGGTTCGAGAGGCGCTCAGGGGAGAGGTTTGAAATGAAAATGGTTGTGATGAATGAAACTGTGTTGTGAGTAATCAGTGTGACATGAATGACAGGGGAGGCGGTAGTAAATGAAGACTACTAGGAATAGAAAAAAATAACGACTGACACTTGACCTTCATCTCAGAAATGCATGAAGTTGTTTTTTTTTTCCATAATTTAGCATTTCTCAGTAAAAAAAAAAAAAACAAAAAAAAACGGAGAGAAACTTGTAATTTGTAATTTGAAGCAAACGAGAATGATAGACTCGATGGAAGTAACCTTTTGAAGTTAAACAATAGATCACATCTGAAAATGGAAATAGCGAAAGAGTTGTGATAAGATTTCGACGTTTCGTTTCTGAGAAATAGGCTGCAGTGTGGGAAAGAAGGAAGCTGTCTGAGGTGGACTTAAATCTTACATTTTCTAATATTTGAACTTCTGAACAAAAGAGGGTAATTATATTCAGGGCAAGTAGCATGGGGTCACCGAGAAGTAAATCTTTGATAAATTACCTTAATGTAGTCATCCTCTCCACAAAGCATGCATACTGGCTTAGGAAATATCTATATCAGTGAGAAAATCAGAAATCTGGTCAAGGAGATACTAAAGAAGTGTCTGAGTGAGTAACTTAAAATCGAAGCTTAGTAAAGATTACATTTATGTAACTGAAACAAAAAAAATGCGATATTTATGATCAGAATGTTATCGGAGAAAGCAATGATAATGCAGAAGGTTGTACACTTATATTTTCTGGACTATGTTCAATTCAGTTGACATGATACGCCACAAGAACCTAGATGATCTCTTTCGGAAACCAGAACTATTCAGATAAGATGTCAAAATAATCCAGTACCGCCGAGCACACCCTGAACTACCGACAGTCACGATCAACATATGTCCCTTCAAACTCACATCCTATATACGATGCATCGCTAAAGATGCAGGTAAAATGATCGTCTCCTTGTACCGCTCCAGTAAGTACCTGACTCCTCGTGCTATCCTCTACGTATATAATATGTCCCGGAAAGGGATATATTTGAACGAAATAGCTAAGTGGTTTTGGCTACTATAACCAAGTAGAATACGGTAGAAGTAATCGACTGGTACGCGTCGTAGTCGCAGGTAAGAAGTGTAGATCAATGGCGTAGTCCAATGGGCGTCGTTATTGTTGCAGTTTTTTTTTGTGTTTATGTATGTACTAGTGAGCCAACCCAAATGACTTGACTCACTTTATAATCCACCAATAGAAGGTTAAACAATCAGAAGACGTAGAACATTCAATCCGTTGTGCATAAAGGCGGCCACTTTGTTTACTCTACCCGAATGTGCAGTTACAGCTTGTCAGGCGAAGACGAACGAAGAACTACTGAACTACGCTCTGCTACTTTTACCGGGATATCCACTGCTAACCTGAATTACGCTTCCCTACTGTCTTCGAAATATTTCACTGCTAACCTCTGAATTCTATACTAAAAAACGACCGTCATCATGAACAACAGTTATAGACTTAGCTCTCAGACTAAGGCTCTGACTCTCCTACACGTCCGTCGGTATTTATGACGGACACCAGCCAATTATATTCCAGTGAGGGGGAACACATGTGTACGCATATTCCATTATATCAGTAAATAAGAGCCAGATCAGGTCTTAAATGGCATATACTGTTGCTATATTTGGGAAGGAACAGCCAAGACATCACTTTCCAGTCTTGATAGAGTTCAAATTCGTCTCCGAGTCCTTGTTGAAGAAGAACTATTTTCCACCCTCCAAATCTCTCTCTCTCTCACGATATGGCGAGTCTCTCACTGCTCTATCGTTACTAACATGAAAAGTGCTCGGACGAACTACATCTCCTGGTTCAACCAGGTCTGACCTTCACGGCTAGGGTTCGCCATGCCATTTACATAGTAGTAATCCATCCTCATTCCCTCCGTATTTCACCAGCAATAAACCGCTTCTTCCCTTGAACCAATGATCTATGGAACAGACACCCAAGAGGATGATTCCCCGATCGCTACAATCTTAACCTGTTCAAGTTTAGAATCATCCGATATATTCCCGTCGTATACATATAAACTACACCCTAACGTAACCCATTACCTCGTGTGAATCCCCTGGCTTTGTACACAGTGAACCTGACTGTAAAACACAAAACAACTTGCAATAGAAGGCAACCACCTGTATACGGATAGAAAATGTATTGAGTATCATACTTATTATAAAACACAGGTTGTGTGTGTGTCTGTACGTTTATATATTGGATCGGATTTCCTACATTTTTCAACCGATTTCAACAAAACTTCAAAGAACTACGTAAAATTACCTTGTGGTGGTTCTGACAGCACCAAAAATTGGAAAAAACACAATTGTTTTTGCATGAAATCAATTTGAAAACACAATTAAGAGGCATCACTGTCGCGAGAATGAAAGGGGGACAACTCATATTGAGTTATACTTATTATAAAACCCAGGTTGTTTGTGTGTGTGTGTGTATGTGTGTGTGTGTGTGTGTGTTCATTTATACATGGGATCGGATTTCCTACATTTTTCAACCGATTTCAACAAAACTTCACTTTTTTTTGGTAGGTAGTGTTTCTTATTGTCTTGCACACTTTTTTCTTTATTTTTACATTCAGAATGCTTTAAAAATTCCATTTACAAGACAATTGTTTATAATAAAATTCTATTCAATCGGTAGACTCATAACGATTGAAAATAATGTTTTTGTTTGAGTTTGGGTTTGACCAATTCGTAAAAAAAAAAAAAAAAAAAAACTAATTAAGACATGCGTGTCCGTCAACCTTAAACAATAATCTTTGTCAATTTTATTTTTCAGTCTTTATGATGGTCGATACTTGATCTATCTCTTACTGTTACATCCCCGGGCAACGCCGGGCTCTACTGCTAGTGTACAATAAAATAGAAAGTGGCGTATGACAACGGTCTTCCTTACCTCCCCCCACGGACTCATGTCGTACTCAACAGCTCTCTCCCTATAACAACTCCGACCACACAGTAATGTCTACGGATATCTCTTTCCGCTGTCTCATCAGGCAAGAATCCCCTATTAACAGAACCTTTTTCTGTTATCAACGTAATTATTGGGATTCTTTTCCTAATTTCGTCGCAATGCTCCTTGGATTAATATTTCTAAACAGTCTATTGAGATATTTGCAACTGAGGCCTCTTCCTGTCTGAAATTACGCATCGAATCTTTCGTGTCAACACGGAACTACAAATTGAAGCCACTTCTCTTTGGTTATTTCCTGCCTCTTCAGCCGCTATAGCACACCGGAATCACTTCTTCCGGCTATACCAGTGTGACAGCTCCGATTATATCAGACGTCTCTTTATCACCGCTCTCAATGAAATCAAACAGGCAGTGTTCGTATTGTCTCTCACTGAATTTGTTTAACAGTCTTGGTTTGGTTTGTTAAGAACGGTGAAGCTCAGAATTGTGACCCTACATATCTCAAAAGCGTTTGACAGGTTTTGATATGTTAGTCTTCATCAGAGGCTCAAGTGCTTCGATTTATCTGGACGAATATTTGGTCTAAACCAATATTTCTTAACAAATCGTGAAATGAAGGTTGTGTTGAATGCAAACGCTTTCAGTTCCTTTCATATTAATACAAGAGTACCCGGGGACTCTATTCTCGGACCTAGGCTGTTACTGATCTTCATCAACGAAGTTCCCGATTTAATCAGCTCCTAACTATATATCTATGGAGATGACATAACTATTTACTCCTGTCTTAGTCGCAATTCCATTTACCATTCGCCCGTACATTAAATAGTACCCCCTATAATTGGTCTGATCTCCTTACTACATATCTTGGGTTTCATGAGAAAATTCATAAAAGAATCTGTAATATAATCGGTCCTGTCCTGGCATCTCCACTTCAGTCAATTTCTCACCGACAAGACGTAGCTTCCCTTTACCTTTTCTATAAATATTCTTTTTAGTGCCTCGACTTCTTGAATTTTAGCGTGCTACTAGATTGGCAAGTAGGTTTGGTTCGGTTTGTTTTGTTTTACGGCATATCAACCTCAATGGGTTATTTAATGCTAACAAAATTTTTATTGCTACTAATATTTTTTTATCTATCTATCTATCTATCTATCTATCTATCTATCTATCTAAGTATATATTGGTTTAGTTTGTTTTGTTTTACGGCATATCAACATTAATGGGTTATTTAATGCTAACAAGATTTTTATTGCTGGTAATACATTTTTTTTATTTATCTATCTATCTATCTATCTATCTATCTATCTATCTATCTATCCCAGTATATATTGGTTTGGTTTGTTTTACGGGATATCAACCTCAATGGGTTATTTAATGCTAACAAGATTTTTATTGCTGGTAATATTTTTTTTTCAAAAATATATTGCCGGTAATTTTTGTAAATGTATAGCTGGTAATTTTTTTCAAAAATGTATAGCGGTAATATTTTTTTTCAAAATATATTGCTTGTAATAATATTTTTCAAAAATGTATTGCTGGTAATAACTTTTTAAAAAGTATCTCTGGTATTAAAACCAATTTTTACACTTTCATGGTCTTTTGACCCCAGTTTGGGGCTTAACTATTTACCCATAGCTGAGACCCTGACAGGTGCTACCACCCTGGGTCAGGGTGGATCTGGGAACATCAGCAATTAAGAGGTGGTTACACGCTCCTCAAAACCTCCTGATTAGAGGCCTTGCTACTGGACGTAGTTTATCGTCTTACCCAGGACGCGGATATAGTTTCTCGTCTTACCCAGGACGCGGATGTAGTTTATCGTCTTACCCAGGACGCGGATGTAGCTTAACGCCTTCCCAGGACGCAGATGTAGTTTATTGTCATACCCAGGATGGGACAACTATTTCCCACCATTTTACTCTTGAACTACATAGATTTCAACAGGCAATTCTATTCGAATAATTTCTTTTCTCGCACTTCTTTCCTGTGGAACTCTCTTCTGATTTCTTCAAAATTTAAATGCTACATCCTTTTCGTTCTACCTGAATCCTGTTTCTTTATTGTCCTTTTCCTCACCTGTCCTAATGTTTTCTCATTCTCTTTCACTCCCAGTTACCCTGTGCGTCCTAGGAGCATTATCGACTTCCTTGGAGTGAAAAGATTTAAAACAATTTTATACTAAGAGATCATTCTAGTTAGAAAAACATTTATTCTAAATAACATTACTTGCATCCAAGGAAGATTTTGTTTGTTGTACAAATACAAATAGTTCTTATATGTTGGCATATAACGTCTACATTTACTTTTAATATTCATTTCATAGAGTTAGTTTTGGTAAAATTACTGAGAGTCTATGACATCGAGGTAAATTTCAGGCTACCGTAAGCATCTATTTCGATCCAGTAAGTTTCAAAAATTAGCGCAGGCGTCTAAAAATACATTATTATTATTGTTTTTCTTTTTCTTCTTCTTCTATATGCCGTGTCCCTTCAGGACTTGGGCGATCTTAACTCTCCACCATGCCCTGTCCTTTGTATCTCTAAATAAAGCTTGTCTTTTTGTTTTCTTTTCCTAACTCTATTTACATCCGTTTGTTAGTAAGATCATTCGCTATTTTCTTTGTCCTTGTCGTTTTCAGTATCTCCTGTGAGTGACATTTTTTTACCTTCTTTCCTCATTATGTGTTTTAGGAATTTTTACTTATTCTAAATATAAGTGTTTTTTTTTCCCATTTTCTCTAAAACTTCGTCGTTGCTCTCATGTTCAGCCAATAACATCCACAGCATCGTTCAATAGAACCATATTTCTCTTCCTTTTCCCCAGTTGGGATGAGATTGTCCAGCATCTACTGATATATAGGAGGACTCACATTGCATGACGGTTCTATACTCTTTTCTTAAAATCTAACGAAATTTTCGTGTTTCTTAATAATTTCATTAGATTTTGGGAGTCGTCTTTCTTTATCCCAATCCACGTTTGTACTTCGGCTTCGTCTTTTCCGCCTTCTTTTAAAAAAACTTCCTAGATATTTACATTTTTGTGCCTACTGGATTTTGGTATCTCCAATTTGTAATTCGCGTCGTCCCTTTTCCGCGAAGACGACTTAACGTAACGTTATGCAGCACGTGCCAAATTTTAGCATTATCATTTCCTGATAAGACATTTCGGAAGCGTTAATATGACAGCTAGCAGTCTGTAACAGGAAATGAAAATCAACGCCCGTGCCAATAGCCTCCAACCACAGCGGCTCTAGTTAGTCAGCTTCTTGAAAAATAAGTAGATGAGCAGGGAAAACGAAAGAGATGTGTGTGTGTGTGTGTGTGTGTGTGTGGACTGCCTCAAGCTAAACACTGTGGTACATACAAAATTCATATTGTTTATGTTGGGTTTGGACATCGGGAGAAATAGCAGTCCTATCGCGCTAACGTATGCGAATCATAATGACCTCTTCATTTACTGACATGTATTCCCTGTACAATTATGTTTGATGAGTAGTCGAGAGTGGGCCTAAGATATGCTTATGGAAGCCATCTTTAACGTGATGGCCACCATGAATGAGATTTCTTTGTTAATGCTAATTGTAATATTAGGCGTTTCCTTATGAGCAAGAATTTGGCATTCAATGACTGAGCAGCCCGTCCTGCTTGAATTATGCTTCTTTATCTTCCGTCGCTATCAACATGAAATCAAAGTGTAATATCTGTTCTCCTCACACATTTTTTTTATGCATTTCACCCCAAGCAAGGCGGGAAGCCACTAGGACGCAAGGGGTTACAGAAAATATAGAGCGAGATCAGATAGGAGTGATAGAAGAAAGGATGAGGGTAGTGGATAGATCAAGGCAACTGGAGATGTCGATTGACATTACACTTGAATAGCTGGAGATTATAGCTCTCAGGGAAACTGGAATAGGAAAGGGAGTTCCACAGGCGAGAGGTGCGAGACATGAAGCTCGAGTAGAAGAGACGGCTACATTTAGGAGTTTCGACAGTGAAGGGGTGAGAGCGGGATGCCAGCCTCGTAGGGCGCTTGAACTCATGAAGCCTGGGAACCAGCGAATGCAGCTCCTCGGAGCAGTTACCATGAAAGTATTTGTAGAACAGACAGAGAGAAGCGACGTTGCGTCTGTGAGAAAGTGACTGTAGACGAGATGCCAGAGCAGGGTCAATTATATAATAGTAATATTAGCCGTATACTACTCGATTTACGCTATTCTTCATTTCATGACGATTATGATAGGATCAATTTATAGAATCTGTTTTACACATCTCTAATAGTAATGGTGATATTAGCCGTTTCCTAATAAGTAAACATTTGGTATTCATTGACTGAGCAACCAGTGCTAATATTGGTTGAAATCTATAAAATGTTTATGTTAAAACTTACCGAAAAATACGTTTCTTTAGTTCAGATATTGTTTATCGCCGTTTCTAGTTTAGAAGAATTAAATCTCTAAATGTAAAACTAGTCTAAAAAGGGATGAGATTCGTCAGGTTATCTTGCCTAAGACACACCCATTGTCGCTAAGGCTACAGTAGATGTGATGTTCTAACGACTCTTACTGATACCCCCTGCTGAAGCGGCTTTATTTATTAATCTTTGCCTAGTTAGTAAATGTTTGGAAAACTAAATTTCTAAACCTCTACTCCTCGATCGAGGAATTTATCTATTAAAGAGTACTTAGAGGGACAGCAGTTTTCACCGTTTTCATTGAAATCGTTCCTTGCTTGATGTATGTATACAGGCGTAATAATGGTAAGGTTTATAGTAATATTAGCCGTTTCCTTATAAGGAAACATTTGGCATTCAGTGGACAAACCGTAAGCGCTACTATCGTTTGAAATTTATAAAATCTTTCTGTTAAAAATATTTTTTTAGAATACAGGTTTCTAAACTTCACTAATTATTGTCATACTTTCCAGTATTGATAGGGGCTTCCTTCCTGAAATTTTAGTTGAAGCTGAGATGCCAGGTCAAAACAAATAATATTGCAGATTCTTTTGATTTTGTCAAGAATCTCATGATATCAAACCAAAGCACTAAATTAGATGGAGCAGCAATAGTCAATGCACAGACAAATGGTAGACTTATAAATGATAGATTCTAGCCAGATAAATTGTCTAGTATAAAATAGTGAACTAAATTTCCTTTCAGCAGAAATAGCAATCGATTCAATATAATCATTCCATTTCATGTCGGAGGATAATGTAAGAGAAATAATGTGCTGTGAGTTGCCTTTTGGAGGGATTATTGCTAATACGAAAAAGCAACTATACTGAAGTGATCAACTCCCTTTCATAAGCGTAGAACATTAGATAATGTGTCAAATTTTGATACTTTTCTTTTCAAATAAGGACACATCTGTTATTGTCAACAAATACAAAACAAGCCAAACTCTCATTATATATTTCTTGTGTACCAAAAAAGAAATAAATAAAATTCAATTCTTTCTGTTAAGACGATTTTTCGGAATGCAGGTTTCTTAACTTCACTAACTGTTGCCAAGCTTTCCAGTACTGATGGGGGCTTCCTTCCTGAAATTTTAGTTGGAGTAGATCCGTGTGAAAACATTCTCATTATAACTTTACTTTCCCTTTGAGTAACATGTGTATTCCATTTTAGTTTCGTCTACTTTGGAAAGTCCTCGAGTGAGGCGATATCTGCCATTTGATAAATTTCTTTGTATGTCATTCTGCAGTGCCAATTCACGAAATTCTAAAGGAGGATGATCCACATTTAAGACATTCGTGCTTTGTTCACTCGAAGCCATTTTAACCAGTGGTCTGAGAATGCGTCTGGGTACATTTGTTAGTCTAGATAATTCTTGAATGAGCTTGGTGCCATGATTTCATTCTAGAACCAATCGAAAACATCCTCGTGGCTAGTGAAGATTTTATCGATGAATTTTTATTTACTCGTTTGTCTTCATTCAATATTGTGAGCAGTAAAATTCAACTCAGCTACTGATATATATATATATATATAGATTGCATCAGCTACAGATTCGTTTCTGTAGTTCACTGCTAACAGCAAGCAGAAATATTTCTCCTCCCGATGATGGCCATTTCGGTCGAAACTAGTCGAGGAATCTAAATGGAATAATAATAATAAAAAACGAAAGAATATTAATCTACAACCCAGTGTGTCTAATGATTTTAATTTTTTAATTTTTTATTTTCTTATTGTTCAAAAATATATATATATATATATATATATATATATATATATATATATATATATATATTTAATCATTTTCGATTCTCACCTTCTAAGTGCAATTGAAATGCACTGAAACGAAATTGCATCATTGTAGTGAGTAAA